TATAAAAAATATGGCTATTACAGATTTTAAAGCCAATATTATTCCCTAATTGCAATATGTCAGCTTAAAACGAACTGATGCATTCTTAATTAAATGATTGGACTTTAAGCGCAATCATTTTAAAAATCTAATTTAATCATCAAAATTATTTAGTTTATTTGGCAAAATTTAGAAGTTTAGACGAAATTATTCCCTATGAACTTTAATAGAAAAAAAGGGTTGTCCCAACAATATTAAAAATAAATAACATCATAAATATATAAAGAAATTGATTACCGAGCTTTCTTGACTAGTGGTTATTAAAAAGAGGGTACAAGAAGAAACTATGCACAAGACAAAAACCTTGACTAGCTTAAAAATGTGTTAGAATTACATCGATTCATAACTCATATGCATTAAATACAGGCAATACAAATGCACAAACTCTTCCGTTAATATTGTAAATTCGAAAGCAAATAAAAGAAATTTACGCATTATCTAGTTTGCACATAAATTTCACAAACTTTGCTATTTTAGGCAAAATAATAAGTCATATTAGTCTTAAATGGTAAAATTAAATATTAAGTAATTAATTTTGAATTCGGTATAACCATGACAAGTGTTTGTAAATTTGTTTCTCATGAGCATTAATTCAAATTTTATAAACAAATTCTTAAGTTTTAAATTGTATTTGAATATCTAAATTGTTTGTTTAAATTCTTTCAAAGAAAACCCGCTTTAATATTCCTTTTCTCAGGCCCTACCGGCAATGTCTACATCCCAAAAGCATCGCGATTTTCTTTCGGAGCCGATTGGAGAAAAATCCGTGTTTGAATTACCTGGAATTGGAGCTAAGCTTGGAGAAAGGCTCGAAAGCAAAGGATTTAAGTACGCATACGTCGTACTTGGGCAGTTTCTCTTAATAAACCGCGACGAAGAACTATTCAAAGAGTGGCTTAAAGACATATGCGGCGCAAATTCAAAGCAATCAAATGATTGCTTTACTGCACTTCAACAATGGACTCAACAATACATTTTTTGATTTATGTACATATCGGTATATCCCATTACCGTATGATGATGAAAGATACACGTTTACTTTTTTTAACTCAAAAAATCCCTTACCGATGTTGTTCAGTTTATAATCTCGCTTTATTTGAAGTTGGGTTTGTATTTCTCATATTGAATTTTCCATCATCAGTTGAACGCTGTCATTAATCTCAACCCATCATTTTATTGAATGCACATAAGTAAACCTACTCCATATTAAGTACCTGTCTCATGTCTTAGTGAGCAATCTTGATTAGATATTTTTGGATTATCCCTTAAATTCGGCCCAAATGTATTTTGATATATCTTTTTCCATATATATTATTTATCTACTCTTTATTTTTTGTAATTCCTATCCTTTACTTTCAAATTCTAAGCGTTTATCTGCAATTTTTAATTTCGTATTGACTTTTTTATATGGTTTTTTAATCCTGATTGTGCTCCCTCATGTATTTTACCGCATCCGTGTTTATGTCTAAAGACAGATTAAGACCTAAAGCCTATGTCTCTAAAGTGCCAAATATCCAAGTTTATATAGTTAGTTTATCCAATATCGGATCATAATTATGTTTGAAGCTCATTTTACTTTGATCTAATTTGAAGTCTACCCACTATTATCCTAGGAAGGAATATTATTTAAAAAAATTTTCCTAGCATATATTCAAAGAAATTTTGTCTTCCGTATCTGTCTTTTCGCGGTATGTAAATTCTTGATAAACTTGATGACGTTATATTGTACGCACTGTCCGTTTCCGAAACAGGCTATTTTGTTTAAAATATTGTTTTGTTTTTAAGGCCTCTGTAATATGTTCCCCTCAGAATAGGACTATTTGCTGCGATATAGGATATTTTGTAATTCGGCCCTAATCTTACCAAAATATTAAATATCTGCTTTTTTTTAAAGGTCACGCGAAGAATACTCTTGACCCAGAAATTCGTTCTTTTACATTCAATTAATGGTTGAATTTGTCTGAAGCTTTCATTCCCTTAAAATTAGTCTAATTTTTTTACTTCAGGCCTATGTAATACTCATATTTGCCTACTGCTTGTTATATATTTATGGGAATTATTTAGGCCTTTCGCCATAACCTCTTTGTCGAAAATTTTCAGCAACTTGCGTCAAATCCTTGCCAATTATTGTCCTATCTATTCTGTTTTCCTGTTGATCGTTTTATATTCTTTTCTTTTTCTGATCTAATCTAATTTTCTCTTATAATTTAGAGCTTATTGGTTTACAATATGTTAAACCACCCATTAGACACTGTATGTCTTCAAATAATTTGTCTATTATTAAACCCTTGTTTTAAGTCACCAACATCATTAAGAACGCTTATGGAGACTAACTTTTAAAGGCCTACATATCCTTGCTATTTTTTATCAACATAAGTCTGATCGATCTTATTATAGGGTGGGCTCACTCAATTATAGTAAAGTTTATCCAAATGTGTTCTTTCGTAAATAACTACAAAGTATCTCCCAAGTAAAATGCGTCATTCGACGAGTTATATACTAAAATCGTATAATAGACTACTGTTATGTTGCAGCTTAATTACGTCATATTCAATACAGGCCTTTCATTCCTCCCCTGGATAGTCTTGTCGCGCAGTACGTAGAAATCAGGATCTAATAAACGGTTAAGCTGTCGATGATTTTGGATCATTGCTAAAGTAAAAGCGTAAAACGGTGAACTAAACATTATGAATCTAGTAGTGTGTTTTGGTAATTAAAGGGTTATTCTGCTCCGTTATTTTCTACACGTCTGGCTACTTAGTTTTTTCGATCTAATAGGATGAAGAAAAGAGAGTAAGAAAGGCTTGTGTTTTATCTGCCAGTTATGGCTGCTTGGGCTTGATGTGTGCATACATGATCAGAGTATAGGTGCAATTATGTCGATTTAAAAGAGCAGACCAATTTATACATATGGAATGGGCCCTGATCTGCATTTCTTAATGGTCACATCTCGATTATGCTATCTTATATATTTGTCAGGCGCTGCAACATCTCCCACCTATTTGCCGCTCGAAATTACTTTGGATATAAGCCATGCGGAATATTTCACCGAAAAGCAAAATAGGCATCGCGGCACGCCATTTCAAATATGGGAATGAGTGTTCAGTAATTTATCTAGATGTAGTTAAGGATATTGGTTGTAAGTTAGCGTCGAACTGAGTATGATATGAAGGTATTAAGGGTGACTTATGTTTGTGGCGGGCAATTCGCTAAAGGGTAATAGATCTGCTACATGTCCGTTTGGGATGGATATGTGAATAGGCTGGTTAAATATCTGAAAAGGGGAGC